AAAGGAAAACTTGAAATCGCATCATATGACCCCTTTAAAAAGATAGCCTTGCAGTATATAAAAAATGCATATACATTTATTATATTTTCATAAAGCCCAATATAATCAGCTTATAATCAACAAAACTGATCTCCAAAATACTTTTTATTAACTTTTTTATATAATGCTTCTATAATGAGACACTTAAAAAATCTTATATGAAAAGAGACATGGTCATTGTATAACTGTATCATCTACACAAGCCATTGTGCTTGCAGCAAACTAATTTGCAACAAATTAAACTGCATTGTTTCATTTACCTTCTGTGGGTAATTGTAAATGTCTTTGGTGACTACAATATTATTGTTCCTCACATTGATCCCACAAACATAGAATAGTAATCCTCTCATAGTAAAGTTATCAAAACCAATGGGCAAATGTATTATTATTATTTATATTCATTTATATTATTTAAATGTTTCTTTATCTTAAGGGTCTACTCTTTCCTACAATACTTAAGCAACATTTTTTAATAAAATCAAAGACATGAGAAGACATTTACAAGTACCCATAGAAGGTAAAATAATGCAGTTTAACTTGTTGGTAATGGTTTATTTTGACTGCAATAAAAACTCACTTCTGCTGCAATCCGTTCATGGACCTCTGGACTGAGTGACCGCCGCCTCTTCGGTTGAGAACCACCTTCACTGCTTTGGTCAACCAGGGAATGGAGAGAATTTCTGTAAAGGAATAAGAAAATGTATCAATAATAATAATAATAATAATAAATGCAAAACAAGGAATACAGCTGCTACCTGATCTTCTGTATGTCCTGCTGGAACTGCTGGATGCTCCCCCTGAGTTGTACTGAAACCATTTAGTGCTGTAGCGATGGAATCAGCTGTAGTTGAACGCAGAGGAATAAATTCAAAAAACCTCTCCTGTACGTTTCCAATGTACCGCAGCACAAGCACAAGTTGACACTGTGTGGCAATATCGTGGTCTCGTCGGCCTGGATTGAGAGAAAGTCGCTGCTCTGTGCTTCTTGGATTATGTGCTCCCTCACAACAGACAACATACAGTCCAACAGCTCGTTCGGCACGGTTTTCGAAGTTCCCTTAAACACCATGGCATTCTCGAGGTGCTCTTTCAAAACTCCATCAAGAGAAGCAACAAAATCGACCAGGCCACGGAATATCACGGGATTGTCTGACGTCTCGCTGTCATCATGGCCACGCAAAGCCAGCTCAAACGCGCCACAAAATTTCACACAGTCTATTTATTATTCTAGACAGGATATGTCTATTTTTTGTGACCTTTTCATTGTGCCTTCTAATGCCAATCCTGTAGCCTTCATCTAGCTGTTCAGCAATGCTAAGCTTCCCAAAAAACTGGAGCCTCATAGCATTGTCAAGATGGCTTCGGCTACTTTCGTGCCGCTTGCACTTTTCAGAGAGATGTTTTAAGTCGCAAACCCCTGTTGTTGTCCACAACGTTTCGGTGCCATGACTTTGAAACCGCAAACACGGAAAACAATAAAAGGCATGACTTACATCACATCCAGCCAGCCAACTCCGTTTGCCATAAGAAGTGCTGGAAAAGCCCCGAGTGTAGGCGTGACCGCGATCACTGAATTTGTCAAGTACGGTCGATCTGGTCCAAACGCCCCAAGGACAATTTGACAAAATTGTCCTTGCGCCCCAAGGACAATTTGAAACAAGCCAATTAGAGCTTAGCCTCAAATCACATGCTTTTCAAAAGTTTGTGTACCTACATAGACACTCATTAGTTTTGATTTTTGGATTTTCAATAAATTATAATATGATTAACAGTAGAATACTATGACTAAATTATTTTATTTAGTTAATATTTGCGATATATATTTAACTTATTGTTAACATATTAAAGGAGGCTAACTTGAAGGGGGGGGCGGCGCCCCAGCGCCCCCTATTGACCAGCCGCCACTGGTGACAAGGCTACTTTCACTTTGAAAAGACGTGCTAGCTGAGAGGAGTTTCGTCAAAGCTGACTAAAAGTGATTGAGGATGGATAATTTAGACGAACTTGATGAACCTGTGATATCTTCTTCAGGGCGAAAAAGGAAAATAAAAGCTGAGATGTTAAAAAAAACATACTTTCAATGAACTTTAATTTTGTAAATAATCAAAACAACCCAACTGCAGTTTGATTGATATAACTTGGACCAACTGCAGTTTGATTAAGTTATCGGTTTTTGCAAATGAACTCTTCTTATGATTTGCTAAATTTGTATAAAGTGCTCTATGAATAAAACTCAAAATAAAAAAATAATAGATGTGCTGTGAAGGAAAATTATACAAAAATAATATGACAGATATGAAAAGAAATTACTAAGTTTCTCCATTGTCCAAAACGCAGCGTATTGTCTAAAACAAAAGTTATGACTGTATGTTCACATAAATTGATAGTGGTCTGCGCTTCACTACAATACATTCTCCCCGCGCTGCAGTGCGTCGCGCAGCTTTGCCAACAGATTTTGATAGATATGCCAAAGGACCAAAAGGCTCTGCCTCGGTATGGTTTGTGTCAAGCCATTTATTAATCTGGCTGTTTGATGAAGAGAAAGAGATCAAATGTAGTAGAAATAAACATGTTAAGAATCAATATAAATTGATAGTGGTTGGTGCTTCACTACAATACATTCTCCCCGCGCTGCAGTGCGTCGCGCAGCTTTGCCAACAGATTTTGATAGATATGCCAAAGGACCAAAAGGCTCTGCCTCGGTATGGTTTGTGTCAAGCCATTTATTAATCTGGCTGTTTGATGAAGAGAAAGAGATAAAGTTTAGTAGAAATAAACATATTAAGAATCCATAGAAGCAGAGGACTATTATTATGGGGTTTTTTTTTAGGACTATTATTATGTTGCAATGCTTGTTTGACCAATCAGCGGAGAGGGGCGTTTCATTCCCGCCCACAAGTAGAGATAGAAAATTCAAGTTGTTTATTCGTTTTCTATCCCTGAACGTAAAAACAAAAAATGAAGCCGGATTCTTGATTTTTCATTTGGTTTGAACAATTGAAAAACGTGAATGTGCTGTTTTTCAGATTTCAGATTTCAATATTAAATTAAAAAACAATTGGACGGAAGATACTCTGATTATTATTCTGTGTGTGATATCTGATTTTTCAAGTGCAAAATGTTGCAAAAGAGAACTGCATTCAGGATCTCTGTGATTCAGTCAAGAGTTCTTTTCATGGCTTATTGTGGTTAATAACTTTTTAAGATCAAGCACGTCCTGCATTTTTTTCTCATTCATGCATGCTTCTTATCGCTTTGAAGTGTCAGTAACTTTTAACAGTCCTGCACTGCGTGCATATATTTTCTTAATGTGACATACACAATATAGCAAAATCTCTATTGATAGACACTCGCCACTTGTTATATGCCATACTGTCATACTGTCCTACTAGAACAAATAAAACAAAAGAGCACCTACATCATATATCTTGCCGGTTCTGTTGTTCATTTTTGTAAGGCCTAAAACAATGTATTTTCTTTTCCACTCACAGGTTCTTGCTCGTGCAGTTGAAGGATTTTTGTGGAGAATTTCTCAAGAGGAAGCTCAGCCTTGGCAACTGTGTGGCCGTCCATAGCCTTGCGCACATGTACACTTTGGACCAGCTGGCCTTACGTGCTGCTGACATGATTCGTCGCAATTTCCATAAAGTCATCCAGGATGAGGAATTTTACACGCTTCCATTCCATCTGGTCAGAGACTGGCTGTCAGACGCAGAGATTACAGTTGACACTGAGGAGGTTTTGTTTGATGCAGTAGTCAAATGGGTTCAGAAGAACTCAGAAGAACGGGTGAAGTATTTTGAGGAGCTTTTTCGTCTTCTCAGGCTGCCACAGATAAAGCCAACGTATCTTACAAGAGTTGTGAAGAATGAGCCTTTGGTCGTGCAGAATGCAGCCTGCCTACAGCTTGTGTCAGAGGCTGTGGAGGGTCATGCGATCCGCTTTGAAAACCTCAAATCAGCAGATACAGAGTTCTGGGCATCATACATGGCCACATTCCAACCCAGATTTGGCCAGAACATGGATGTCATCGTGGTGGTCGGTGGGGTCTCTGAAGGAGGTGACTACCTGAGTGAGTGCGTAGGGTACTTTGTATACGAAGACCGTTGGGTCAATTTGCCACACATCCATAACCATCTGGATGGTCACGCTATTGCGGCCACTGATACCCATGTATACGTGGCTGGGTCCATGGAACCAGGATTTGCCAAGACAGTGGAGCGCTACAATCCAAATCGCAACACCTGGGAACAAGTGAGCAACCTCACCACACGCAAGCATTCCTTTGGCCTCACCTGCATCAGAAATATTCTGTATAGTATTGGCGGTCATGGCAACTTCAGCCCTGGCTTTAAGGATGTGAGTGTCTATGAACCTGACCAAGACAAGTGGCACAACCTAGAATCTGCTCCTAAGATTTTGAGAGACGTCAAGGCTATTAGTGTCGAAGATCGATACGTTTATGTCACCGCGAGAACTCCCATAGATACTGACAGCGATGATGGGTTGAAGACGGTGACTACTCGCTACGACACTGACAGTCGCCAGTGGCAAGAAGTCGATTCCTTACCGCTTATTGACAACTACTGCTTGTTCCAAATGGCTGTAGCGTCGACTAACTTCTACCACACGGCTTCTTGCTGTCCCAAGAGTTACACCAACGTACGTGATGATGTAGCTCGTCAAAAGATCAGCGCAAGGATATCTGATGATATTCTTGAGAGCCTTCCCCCAGAAGTTACTAGTATTGAGGGTGCTGCCATCTGCTATCTTGGTGATGATGTGTTTGTGATTGGTGGCTGGAAGAACAGTGACGATGTGGATAAGCAGTATCGCAAGGAGGCGTACCGTTATTGTGCTGAGCGCAAGCGCTGGATGCTTCTGCCACCCATGCCTCAGCCACGCTGTCGTGCCACAGCATGTCACGCTCGCATTCCCTACCGCTTTCTATACGGCTGTCAGCGTTACCCAATGCCACAAAATCTGGCACGCCAGAGGGACCGTATGCAGCAAATGCAACAGTTACATCGTCGCACATTAACTCTACGCAGGCAGTTACAATCACAGATTGAATGCTGAGAGCCCTTGTTGCTCAATAGAAAACAACTGCTGCAAAAATCATGATAATATAGTCTTGAACATTCCCATGATCCCATTCTTATTAAAATGTGTATTGTTTATTTGTGACATTTCATCACTGGGAGAGTGAATGAAATGGCTGAAGCTAGTAAAGAGAGTATTTTCAATGTGACTTTGTATAATGGAATCATATAAATATGTAAAAAAGATACGTTTGTAAATATCTGTACACATGAAACATTGTTTCATGGCCTCGCATGAATTTGCCTTATTCCCACTGACGGCAATTTGCAGAATGCTGCACATTGTTCATTTATCTTGAGTCATGGTGATGGTTGTCCTGCTACATTTGTGGGTTTTTAGGTTGTTTGTTTTGCAGGGAGAGACACCATTTTTCCCAGCTGTAATGAATGAGCTGTTCAAAACCGCTCGCACGTTTTGAACAAACCATTAATAACTACAAAAAGAACTCACTTGTAAATTACTTGTTTCTGGTCTTAATTGTGATGATTTTATTTGTCTTGCACTTGTTTGTCAATGCAATTCTTTCACAGTTTTTGTTTATATGTGTAAAAATGCATTCTTCGCAACTACAAGCACTTCATTTCAGCATTAGCCCTTGTCTTATTCTTTATTCTTATAGTTTAAATTGATTATATTTGTTCTTTTTCAACTTGAAAGCACAGGGAATAAAGACAGTTATGGCATCAGTTATTGACGCATGAAGGCCACACCTAATAAAATTGTAAAACCATAGATGTTCAGAATATAGTCAAGGATTCATTACCTCAGTGTCAAGGGCAGGATTTTGTTACTTAAAAACAATTTGTCATTGGTTTTGTGGTCTATGCCAGTTTGAGATCTCTCAGCTTCCTTGATTTAATTATTTTCACTCATATGTTTTTAGCAACCTCATCAGCTTGTGCTCTGTCATGCAATGCCTGTCAAGAATTATGTTAAAGGGGTCATATGATGCTGCTAAAAAGAACATTATTTTGTGTATTTGGTGTAATGAAATGTGTTTATGCGGTTTAAAGTAAAAAAAACATCGTTTCTCCTCTATGCCCCGCCTTTTTGAAACTTTCCTTCTTGCGCAGAGGAAATGAGTGTGTGTGTATGTATGTATGTATGTATGAATGTGTGTGTCGATGGCGATAGTGTCTGACAATAAGAGTAGCAAGGCTGGGATGTTACCTTGTCCTGCTCTCATTGTTGTAAAGTCTTTTAAGGGCGAATATAGTTCTTTGCATGTGTTATAACGTATGCACATGCTGTGGATCTCAGTGATTTGCAATAAATATTTATTAAAAATCTGATATTGTCCAAGAGTTGTTGTTCTGCCTAGTTGATACCCTTCCTGGAGTGCCATTACTATTGTTTACAAAAATTTATGCTTACTGAAAATTGATGCAGTATAACATTGTACTACAGTGTTAATTTTAGATCGATCAAAGCATTTTCACATAGAATGTGATTATTCCCCAATTGTTGTACTTGACAGTGTGTGCAAATTGTCATGAGATCTTGCTCTTTATGGTATAATCAACAAGTGTCTATAGGAAATAATATGGTCAAATGAAAATAAATA